GGACGAGAAGCTGGATATAAGTCAACAGTGTGCCCTTGTTGCCAAGAAGGCCAATGGCATTTTGGGATGTATAAGTAGGGGCATTGCCAGCAGATCGAGGGACGTGATCGTTCCCCTCTATTTGACACTGGTGAGGCCTCATCTGGAGTACTGTGTCCAGTTCTGGGCCCCACACTACAAGAAGGATGTGGAAAAATTGGAAAGAGTCCAGCGGAGGGCAACAAAAATGATTAGGGGACTGGAACACATGAGTTATGAGGAGAGGCTGAGGGAACTGGGGATGTTTAGTCTGCGGAAGAGAAGAAGGATGGGGGATTTGATAGCTGCTTTCAACTACCTGAAAGGGGGTTCCAAAGAGGATGGCTCTAGACTGTTCTCAGTGGTGTCAGATGAAGAACGAGGAGTAATGGTCTCAAGTTGCAGTGGGGGAGATTTAGGTTGGATAATAGGAAAAACATTTTCACTAGGAGGGTGGTGAAGCACTGGAATGCATTACCTAGGGAGGTGGTGGAATCTCCTTCCTTAGAAGTTTTTAAGGTCAGGCTTGACAAAGCCCTGGCTGGGATGATTTAGTGGGGGATTGGTCCTGCTTTGAGCAGAGGGTTGGACTAGATGACCTCCTGAGGTCCCTTCCAACCCTGATATTCTATGAAACTCAAAATGGCACCAGACTCTGCCAGAACAGATGCAAAACCTGCAGACATCTCCACTGCTACATGATCAGTTCCACCCCCCACAACACACCTTTCAAGATCCCTGAGTCCTACACATGCCTATCACAAGTGGTGTACCTCATCCAGTGCACTAAATGCCCCATTAACAACTATGCTGCTGAAACCTGACCACCACTATGCTCTCAAATGAACTCGCATAGAAAAATGATAAAAAACAAAAACATGTCACACATGGGCAAACACTTTTCACAAAACTATCACTCCGTAGCTGACTTCTCAATCCTCATCCTCAAAGGAAACCTGCAAAACATCTTCAGAAGACAAGCCTGGGAGCTTAAATTCATAACTTTGCCAGATACTAAAAATTATGGTCTTTATAAAGACACTAGATTTATGACTTATTACAACAATCTGTACCCATTAACTCCTCATTTTTGTCATATGACTACAGGGTTGTTAACCTTAAAACACAAGTTAATTATTTATGCTAAACAATTTGTGCCACCTTGTATTCAGCTGACACAAAGTACTTTTCCCAGAAGTCTGTGTGGCTCAAAAACATGTCTCTTTCACCAACAGAAGGTGGCTCAATAAATATTACCTACCCACCTTGTCCCTTTAAAATTTGGTCATTTATATCCTTTTTCTAAGGCTTAGATTTGTGATCTGTTTCTGTCTAGCTGATTAAAAAAAAAGTCAAAGGTTCATGAAGCTAAAATGGAAAGCAATGGCCTCATAAATCAAAGCCTTATTTTGACAGTGTTCCTATGTGGAACATACATGTGCGATCATCCCTGTAAAATGAAAAACGTAGACAATTTCTTCCAGATAATTAAATACAAAAGGAGTATTTCCCCCAGATATGTTGGAAAAGGGTTACCAGATTTGCCCGTTACTTTGGGGTATGCTCATTTATTAGGGTTACTCTTGGGGGCGGTGGTAGAGGGGGCTCTGTAATTCTATCAATGTACTGCTTGTGTCACTTTTGTTCTCATACGGAGCTCTACTTTTCCCTGCTGCAAGTTCTCTCCCAATGGAGCTCTCCTGCAGGACCTAGGTTCCCCAGGGCTGGGTTCTTCCAGCCCCAGAATCAGACAAACACACACATTAACAGAGAGCCTCTGAGAGGACTGGGTTAATCAGCACTCCCAAGCTAACCCCTTATACGTCCCTGGACTCAGCTGGCTGGGTCGAGCAGCATTTCCAAGCCGTCACCCTCATGTCCCAGGTTCAGCACGTCTCTATTCCTACTTTCATGTTACAATTGTTCTGGTCGTAACCCACTTGATGAGCAAACCTCACAGTACTTTTGGCCACTGCAGGGATCTTTAGTTTAGGTACGAGGAGTGTTTCTGCAGAGCAAACGAGAAAGCCAAAAAAACCCATGGGGTGGAGGGAGAGGGGGTTTGGGAGGAGAGAGAAAAGCAAGCAACCAGCTTAACCATGAAAGTTATTCATTGCTAGGTAATTATCATAGAGCCAAACAAACAAAACAGTTATAAAACTAACTTAAATTTGATTATAAAAGTCAGGTTTAGAAAACTATAACTGATCACAGAAGTCAGGTCAGAAGGCTATACCTAGAGAAAGAGAGTGCTGGGTTCCCATCACTTTGTGAAGCTTGAATCGTTCGAGGGTCCCAGGTGGTGGTGGTAGCTGAGGGTTTGGAGTGCTGGCTAGACAATATGAACTGATCATTCCTGGCTATAAGTAGTGTTCCTTGGAGTGAGCACACAATGCAATTAGGGAGTTTCACTATTTTGGATAACAATAAAAAAAATTACTAGAATTGGTCTGATAACTACTGAGCGCGGTGTGTGCAGGTGTCGGTTCATTAACAACTGGAGCAGAGATCCCCCATCATGCAGTGCTTCCCTGCTTTTCTGATCCCAGAGTTCCATGAGGTTCTTGCCTTGGAATCTCTGTTCTCCATTCTGTATGCTAATGGAGATGCCTCCCCGTCCCATCTTCAATGCAAATGAGGCTAGGGGAGTTTCCTTAATCCTGTCACCCTTGTCCCAGGGGGTTTCAGTGCGTCTCCCACTGCGTTTTCATTGCTTTTTGTAAATCTTTCTTCTGATTGGTTTTGATTCAAGCAGAGGCCAGAGGGTGGTGGTGGAGGGAGAAGAGGTCTTCCGTGAGACAAACAGGCTCAGTACTGCGCCCTGGTTCCCCAAGAACACAGAACTGATAGGTAACAAAAGGTTTGAGAGAAAGATCACTGGAAAGCAGGATGCAATTGAATGCCAGTCAAGATAACCGAGAAGGAGGGTAGGGGAGAAAGAGAAAGGGATGGGTAAAACAGGCTTTTTCATATCCATAGAAAATGCTATTTATCTCATTCCAGGCAGACCCCCATATTCCATTGTTTTGGGGAATCAAAGTTTGTTTGGAGAGTTCATGCCTGCTGCTGTTACATCTCAGATGGAGGGTAAGCATCTCTGTTGAGCTTGACTACCACCACATTTACTCTCATTTTAAAATGAGTCGCTCACTTGTTTATAATGAACTTTGATTTAATATTCATTAAACTATCAGCTAAACATAAGTGAACTTCTACATTTTTACTTCATTCATATGCTAAGAAAAATATCAAAGCAAGTACCTTTCACAAGAAGTGGTGGTTCTTTGCCCCTTTACAATCCCAGATTTTCTAAATTTTGTTTAACATTGTTTACTGGACTGGTTTTCACATTTACTCTGTAATATCTTTGTTAAAACTCACATTCAGAGCGGATTGCTATAGGAAGACCTCTTCTGAAGTGCTTGAACTGCTATATTAGAACACTGCAAAAAGTAAGCCTCTCAACAGTTACTCCAGGTTACTCTTATTTACATAGAAGCTGGGACAAGGAAGTTTTTATCAAATGTGAAGATGTACTTTACAATCCCAGTTCAAACATACAGGCTGATAACTCTGTTGTAACTGCGTAGCACATTTGGATAGGATGCAAGGGTACCTATAAAACCACTTTTATGATCCCCTAATCCTAAATTAGGTCTGTGCTAAAATAGCCCCCTCCAGAGCAAGTTAGAGCAACCCAGTGGTTGCTCTAATGTAAGCTACCTGCACCAAATGCTGGATACTGCAGCTAGGGATCATGATGTGCAGGGGATGGTCTACTCATGCCTCTTTTCCACCAACAAAAAGTAATGAACCCAGAACCATCACACTGCCTTTTTGCCACATGAGTATCTACCTACCTTGACCCTCCCGCAGCCAGCAACCAGTTTTAAGGATGCTTTACATCAACATGGCAAAAACTAGACAACACAGGGAGGATCTAAACCACTTGTTGAGCTTGAGATTTTTAGATAAATCTTTTTATGAAGATTGTTTTCATGTTTTGTACTGCGCCAAAGCTGTGAACTTTAAAGCATCACCACGTTAGACTCAAGTGTATTGGAACATCTGAAAAATTCACCACAAAGCCTAACTGATGTAACATTTGGAACTTTCTGCCCAACACCCATTCTAGGGCTCCTGAATCTCTAGGTAAATCAGATACAGTGTGTCCCTCACCACTATTATAGACTTGCCGTTACTGAAAAATTGGCTGCCTGCAAGGTAGAAACAACTCTTGTCTTTCCTAAAACAGGATAGTTTTAAATACAGTAGTTCTTCATGGGAAAGGGTAAAAATAAAGCTAATTGTCATGTATAATGGATATACATTTCAGAATGTTATTTGCTGAACAAAGTCAGCTGTGTGTGTATATAGAGAGACATATAAAAAATAAAGTATTGTAATTCAGTGCTCAAACTTTAAATACTTAAGATAGTAATAAAGAAAATGAAGTGATATGGATTGGTGTTGTGCAAGCTTCCTTCCTGAACAAATATTAACAGCGTACCTAGACCTGTTGGCCAACAGCCTCAGCAATTACAAGATATATGTTAATTAGATGTCATAGTTAGGATATAAAGAAATGCTCACTAGGTTGCCTGTCACATATTTTAGCTTTATTTTAGATTTAAAACCAGATTTGACAAATTACCTGTGTACCTTGCCTTGCCTTTAATCTATCTTTATTTTTAAAAACAAAATGGCTACTTTGGGGTGCTTTGTTTTGTCTTTATGATTGACTAATAGACGTGTAGCTTAGTATCTTACTCAAAGTTTAACAGTTGGTCATACATTTCAAAAAAGTTTGCTCTCAGATTTAAATGGAAAACAGGAAAGCTCCCTTTTTTAATGTTGTGATTTAAAATGCCATTGACCTAAAACACCCACATAATTTTCTTTTACTTCTTACATCTAGTGTATATTCTTAAATTATAGGGAAACAGGTTACACATTTTCTGTTCACATACAAACAGACAAACTAACAGATGTAAACTATTTATTGAATATTTGCCACCAATATTGTTAAATACATAGTCTTGTAGTTTTTCGCTTTCAAGTTAAAACGTCAGAAATAGAACACCAAATATTTACAATTCTTATAAGGAATGTTACATAATGACACATTAAGGCGTAAATTCTTTTGGCTTATAATTCTGAAAAGAATGATAATAGCAAAGTGATGCAAAATCTTCATCGTGAGATTATGATTAAGCTACAATGTTTTACAAAAATATGGTGTAAGATGGCAATAATCCCATTCAAAATCCTGCATTAGGTCCCTTCAAGAGGGACTGATAATTTATACAGTCAAAACTTTAAAATTTACATATAAAGGTATCCTATCCACCATTGAAAAGTACAACTCTCAACATATACAGTTTTCAGGCCACAGTTTTGAAGGTTTGGAGTATCAAGTTGGTTTGATGAATTAGTCGGTTGGCACTTACGAACACATTTATTGCCCTGTTGTAAGAAAAGAAACATATTTCAACACTAAGAACGGTTTCAGACAAAGACTGCTTTAGAAATACTTTATGCAATAAATTTTAGTACCAAATCTGGACAACTACATGCATCCTGGCTCAGCAAAACATCACAGTGAAGCACATTCAGATGTTTTGCAGTATAGCAGCCTCCATTCAATTTACAGCTGATGACTAGATATCACAGTCTTGCATGCCTTACCCATGCAAAGAATACTAGCAACTGATGGTAGGATCTTCAGTATTTTTGGCTCCTGAAAATTTAGTTAAAAAACCCAAAGCTAGCTAGAGAAAAGTGGGCATTAAAGGCCTTATTTTCAGAAGTGGTGAGCACTTACAAGTCCAGCTGAAGTTAACAGGAGTTGATGTTTGCCATTTTCTCCCTCATCCCCATATAACAGAGCAACTATACTGTGTTGCTTCAGCATTGTTTAGTCATCTTTAACTTAAAAAAGACCAAGAATGAGGTCAACACAGATGGGATTTTTCACCTCCCTAATCCATAATTGTCAGACTGCTGTCATTTTGTTTGCATTATTGTTGCACTTTTTTCTCGTGCCTTTTAAAAAGTCTAGCTTCGGGCCATGGCCAGTTTTATGCAGGTTATATCACTTCTTGTATCCCAACATAGTCAGTAATTCAAGTCTCAGATGGGATCTCATGCAGTATTTTTCAGACTCTCCAAATCCTAGCACTGGCTCTTCTATGCTTTAAGATTATCAGATGAAAGGCACTACAGAAGTGTAAATTATTAATGTGTTTTTGTGTTTGGTCTGATAGCTTTTGTTAATCATCATTATTCCAGGTTTCTAGTTTCCCCTGCTAATTTTGCCTTCTATCACTTGTGTAAGCCTGTTACTTTCAAATATATTTTACCATGCATATTATGGCATATTCCTATACTAGAAGACCCTTTCAAAGTTGAATAAAATCTTATTTATAACTCCTGACTGGTGTCTGATTATTATAGGAAGCTTGCTATTTCTCCAGTTTGTTGGTGTTCTTTACATTCCTAGTACAGACTTAAGAACTGTACTACTCAGAACTACAGTTTTAACCCTGAAACTTCAAGGCCCTGCACTGCAGTCACCATCTTCAGGCTGGGGACAGGATTCCCGCACATTGTCAGTTAGCATCTGGTTCAAATACAAAGATTCCCTGAAAACACAATGGAATACCAAGAATGATTCTCCCCTTCCTCCAAAGTTAGTTGAAACACCATACAGTTCACCTCAGATATAATCTTTCAGCTCTGGCAAAAAACATATCGTGAACTCTGCATGAATACTAAAGATTCCATTCACTTGCATGAATGTGTGTAATGAGAGAAATATTGGCCAAGTACATCCCTATCTCTGTAAGATCTAACCAACAGTACAAATTTGCTGCTATGTCCTTGACCAAAATTTCTTCTCTTCTCCTATTCGTCTGCAGACTACATCTAACTGGTGCTTATATTATCTGAAAAGTACTTGGAGATATTGTGGTATGAAGGAAATTTTCTAAATGTAAACTATCAGGGTCCTGCATCCTCGTGGCAGTTCTACCATTGATTTCAAAGGGAGCAGGGGAGGTGATCACTGAGGACAATTTCCCTCATATAATGGTGCAATGTCTCAACAATGCTCTCAGCCTTTGTTGACTTTGACACAACAGAATGGAAAATGAAAGACAAGCAATACCAGTTGGCTGAAGATTCCGCCTGCCTCCAAGACATGTATTGGACTATGAAATCAGATCATCTTCATAACAGTAAGTGACAGTGAAATACCATAGCACAAGTGGATTCCAAAACACAAAAAGACATGAACCTTAATGAACTGCCTTTTTTTAAATAGATGAAAAATTAGAAGACACATAAAAAATGTAGACATCTATATTCAAACTGCCATTCACAAACCACTAGTTATAAACATTAAATATCTGTGCAGATTTTTAGTTGGCTTACCTTACTATTGTCCTGTTCTCATAGCTACATATACTATAGAAAGTGAATCACAATATTCAAAATTACACACCTGATTACTTTGTGGTTGATTTTTAAGTATTCATGGGTTTATTCTCCCTTTACAGACACACGGAGAAATGAAGACAGACAGATGCTATGGCCATATGAGGCCAAGTAATTTAACACCACATAAAAGGGAAAACACACATTTGTTGTTGTGAAGCTGCATTCAAAAGCATACTTACTTTCCATCTTTAAAATAGGTTTTCAGAGTATCACTGAAACTTTTGGAGTATTTTACAAACTCTTTCTTTTGGTGCTCAAGTGCCTAAAAAATACAAATCCACAATTAAACAAAAAAATCTGATTCAATACCTTTACAGAACAACATACTTATAGTAACTCATCACTAACAAGCTACAAAGGACTAGGGGGCAAAACAAAAAAAAGAGTGAATTAAAGACATGCAGATCCAGGAATTCAAAAGATTTTGAAATGAAAAGGTAAGTAATAATGGAATTTCTAAGTTTCTTGTCAGACGTTTCCAGAAAATGAAACATTTATACTTTAATACAATATTTTTAAAATGATACAACACTGACACATCTATACATATTAAAAACCCATGCATACTGGAAGAAATAAATAGAAAAAAGTATATGGCCTTAGTGACAGATTTGAGTTGGTTATACTGCTCTATCTTTTCTTTTCATTTACACTTCCTTCTGACTTGTCAATGACTAGTTAAATTCCACCACTCACCCTTACACTATAAGAACGAAAGATCTTTCATATTTATGTTTAGTAGTAATAATACAATACTACATGCAAATCTTAATTCACGTACCCTCCGGTTCTGGTATTGATATTTCTTGAAGACATTATTTACTGTGTCAAGAAGTTCCTTTATTGCACTGGCAATGTCCCTATTTGATTTAAAAAAAGATAATCATAACATTTTAAATTAGCCTTATTTAATGCTGAATTTTAATCACTTTCAGGAAAAAAATCATATTTGATACTTACTTCTAAAGAATTTTATAGAAATAATATAGATATGATGCAGGAAGACCAAATGCAAAGAACTAATCAGATTATATAGTACTTAAATCCAAATTAAGTTTAAAGTGCTCCTTAGACTCTGAGAGCTAGCATCTGCCCAATAATATGGAAACCTATGTTAAACAATACTATATACTGTACTCACTTGTTTAACAGTAAGAACCAAACTGTGCCTTCAGTACGCACACACAGCTCCTAGCAACTTAAGGGGTAGTTGCAGGTGTGGATCTAATAGCAGAATTAGATCCTTAATGTCTGTTCCAAATATGAAAAAAAAATCATCCATTATGTGCCTTACATTTAGGGTACCAAGGGGCTCAAAACAGTTTGGGATTCCTTGTATCTTGCCCAATCACACCAAAAAAAATTAAACTGCCTGGCAGAAAATGTTCACATCCAGTCCCTTTGAAAGCAATTTGATGCCACTAACCCACACATAGGACTGATGTGTACAACAGTATCTAGTTTTGCAGGATTTAAAATCAATTTGAAACAAGACCAGCTAGCATCTCTCTTATTGTACTAAGAGTGGTCAGAAGAGAGTAGTTACTGTGTTGTGCCACTTTCTTTATATCAAAATTGTACAATAGTGTGCACAGTTTTATAAACACCATTATATAAAATGTTAAAAATTACACTCTATATGCAATTTTACTACTATCTTACCAAAATTAAAAATTGCATTTCAGGATGTTTATAATCCCATTTCCTAGTCACTGAGCAGAAAGCAGAGATCTAGGTACTCTTCTGATAAAGTGCTACAGGCTATTTCCTGCTTGAGAAATTGCTGACACTTTGTATCACTGTATCAGTCCAGAACAGTGAATCCAAAGTTCATTGAAAGTAGCCCAACTAATCAAGATTAAGTTTTCGCATAGAAATGACATCTTTGTCTGACCCTTTTTGTTTCATGTTTAACATTAGCGGTTTTCAGTTATATAACTGTTCCCCTTAGCTTGTGAATTTCAAGCAAACCCAAGCTTGCTGTATTATTGGGACATGAACATATCTTCCTTCACCCCACCCCCTTTTATAAAAAGCAAAGGCACTGCCTCAACCCTTCTATTGAAATGTCAAGCTCTAAAAGTGAAGACTGCCACACTGTAAGACAACGACTTGAGAAAAACAAATCAAACCCACATATGCAATGGAAATAGAAATCGAGAATGGTTAACCAATATAGTAAGCCAGTGCTGTTTATAAAGCCAGGAGTTTTCAGTCAGTACTGTACAAAAGGACTTAAAAATAGCAGTACAAACATGGGCATGTATAAGCCAATCAGCATTAAGAAAATTTACCCCTTCATCCATCAGTATCCATTACATACACATATACTTTAGTAAGTTGTGTTGGTGGCAGGGAAGATCAACTCTTGACATTTAGATACAAAAGTACGTTTACCTGGATACAAGATATTATAACATGTATGGATAGCCGCAAAACCAATAAAATTGAGTTCTAAGATTTATACATTATGTATTACACAAACCCCTCTAAAATCTCTCAGTCAGTATTGCCCCATCTGTGCATTCAAAATCCCCATAAAAAAACCAAACAAAAGCAAGTAATCAAAATATAAAAAGTGTACAAATTAAATAGCATTATATCATCAAATTAGGCTAACCATGTAATTCTAGGTTTCAGAGTGGTAGCCGTGTTAGTTTGTATGAGCAAAAAGAACGCCTGTGGCGCCTTAGAAACTAACAAATTTATTTGAGCATAAGCATGTAACTATAGATTCAACCATTTTCAAATAAGCTGCATCTTGTGCTAAGTTAACAACTGTTAGCACATATAGCATTATTATTAGTATTATTATATTTCATGGACATTAACAGTGTTACTACTGTGACATTGATTTGTTTTATGGTCTTAGGCAAGTCACTCATCGGTTGTGTGGATAAGTTAGTTAGTTTCATGCAATTATAAACTACCTACATAATCAATCCTGTCCTATATTTATTCATACTGTGATTTATATTTTATTACTATGACACACAGTCTCTATGTGTAAGTGAAATATTGTAAAGGTATTTATCACACATTACAACAAAACTACTTTTTAATATATAAGCAAGATTAGTTTCTATGATCATGAAAAGTCAAACTGCAACCAATGTCCTATTTAGCCCAAAACAAGTGCAGCACAAGCAAAAGTAGTACAAAACATCTTAATGCCCCTGTGCTTCTTCCACATGCTACACAAAGATGCAATGTACAGCATCTCTGAACATGCTGGTCCATTCCTCCAGAGGACCACAGTTCTGCCAAAAGCCCAAGGAGCACTGAAAGCACCACATTACATCACTAAAGCACATGTAGTAATATCTTAATATCCAAGTCAAGGCTTCCAGCTTGATCTGCAGATAAATACAGAATGCAGCACTTACTTGATTGTCTGAAGAAATCTCACTCGATCATTGATCTCATCGGGAATCTTACTGAGAATCTGTTTAAGTGCTCGTGCCTTTTCATTTAGGTCTTGGAATTCTGGCTCTGGCCTTTCAATCATATACTCTGATAGGCAAAACAAAATTACAAGAAAAGACTTACCCTCAAGTATATTTTTAGTGACACTGTGGATATTGCTATTCATAAAGTTCCATCAGTACTTCAAAGCAGTATTTTAAAAGAGGTACACAGATCAGCATTACGCATGTGCAATGGATTTCTATATCAATAGAAGCATAGTCTGTTATAAATGCCTTTACTTGATTTTATCCACTCAATCCAAAAAACCCAGAACATTCATTATTTTAATGTAATTTATAAAAAACAAAATCCACAGAAGATCCACAGAATGGAATGACTGCATTGTGCTAATCCAATACAGTATGAAAGAAGTTTACCAAATGGAGTGAAACCCTCTTACAGTGAATTCCTGGTTCTATCAGGGAAAACACACCCCACCATATTAGAAAGAACATTTTGCCTCCTAACTTGTGGAAAAGGCAGATTTAATGCTATAGTGAGTAAATAACATGCACTGTGCGTTCTAATAATTTATCATTTTCACTGCAAGGTTAATTATGCTTTTAGAATTACAGAGTATAATAAATATGTAAGTTAAATTACTATGCCCAATAAAATACCCATACCACCACAAGTGCTCATTATAATATGGTTTTTCCTATATTGCAACGGGATTTGTAAAAAAAAAAAAAATGCTCACTATTATAGGGGATTCATTACAGCAAGAACAGGATTAACCTGTACTTCCAATGCTAAGACGAAACCTGTCCCGAAAAAGAAAACTGACAGATTTTCTATTCTAATTTTCAGATTTAATGTAACATTTGTCTCTGAAAAACAGCATAAAAAAGTAGGCTTATACCCATCAATATCAGAGAACATGGGTTTAAATGCAATTCCCACCTCCCATTCCCAGAGATAAATACCTTCTACGTCATCTGCAGCCATACGCAGAAGAGACTCTGTAAAATTCACTTCTACACTTTTTTTCTCCAAAATTTTCATAATGATGTCTTGTGTGAGACCTGGATTTTCTTTTTCAGCCTATATTATAAAGAATATTTTGATTAAGAAATATTTAGGACTTGAGTGACATTTTAAAGCATAAAGCTAAATTTCAATGGGACAACAGATTGTACATACAAGATCAAATTATTACGGACTAGAGAAGTTGAATAGGCTCATAACAGCAGACCACTTTGTAAAACATTTTTTCCACAATCGCATCAATGGGTCTTGAACTACTGAAGTGTTTTTGCATCAGGAATTTTCCCAATAAGTAATTTCACCCATTTCCATGAAAAGCATTTACGGGTATCTCACACTCTCCCTTTACCTGGTTTTACCCTCTGAATAAAAATTGAAAACATTAAAATTATATTGACATAGAAGGCGAGAAGACATTTTGTATATTTCTATTTAATTCCTCTCAACTGTATTTTTTTCAGGTTACACAGATATTGTGATTTTCAACTTGTCCTCATATCATAACTCTCACATATCACTAGTATTACTTTTTCATAGCTTTTCAAATGCTTCAGTGTTTCTTCTAATGGAGTGTCAGTAACAGAAGAGGACACTCTCTGCAGGTGTTACAACAGATCTGCATAATCCAATAACTGGCTTCATACATGGCTATTGCGCCTTCTTGTCTTAAAAATTATTTTCCACTACTCGTGTTTACTTTAGTCCCTACCACCTACTATTACAATACATTCCCTTTATAAAGAGATTTTGTTATTTAAACTCAATAATCCTTAAATGTAAATATTCATTTAATTGCACTAAACACAAAAACGTTATTACCCCTTGGGTCTAATAAAACATGTAGGAGGGTGAAATTTTGTAAGATTTATTTTGGATTTATATTTTTGTTTAACATGTTTTCAAAATCATTACCACATAATATTCAAACATCTTACAATAACATGATCCAAAGAAACAAAGTACACACAAAACAGAACCCCCTAAAAAGGTGAAAAACAAAAATTAGAGATGTTTTTACACTGAACTGTTGTTGTAAGCATAAGATGTTAATTCTATATTTATCCATGTAATCAATAAAAATTTTCTATATACTGTTAAATTATCAGTTTTATTTTGAACTCAGTTCTCTCACCAGCAGCCTAGACGTACTATTTTATTATACAAGTCAACTGTCATACATCTGGATTTAATTTTTCCATCATCTACCAATTTTTCCATCCACCGTCACTGATGACTTCTTCCTCTTAGTTTTTGAATTACATGGATAGTATATCTCTACTGTCTTATTTTATTCCAGTCAGGTCATGTTTTGAGTCTCACAACAACATGTTGCACTGTACTGCACTGACAGTCAGGAAAACTTCTGTGCCTGTCCAAAACTCCATTCCAGTATCAGAGTTCACAAGTTTGTACCCATATACCAGCTTGCATTTAATTAGAACTCAAGAAAGAATACCTGGAAAGCTTTTAGACGGGAACACGGGGGGGGGGGGGGGGATTATTTATCTGTAATTCTGTTTCTCTGAATCCATCATCTTGCAAGATTTTCACTCTTACATCTTAAGGGTTGGTTTTTTTGTTTTGTTTTTTGGGGACCCTTGTGTGCAGTTGTAATCCTCAGGTTTGCTGGTGAGGAGATAGAGCACTTTGGTATTGAAGCTACCCTAGTAGGTTTACAAGATGAAGCCAAGTCTGCATCAACATTGGCAGTGCTGGCATTGAATCTCAGTACTCAATAGGCTTGGCTGATGGGCTTTAGCTTTGAAGATTTTACTCTTCAAAGCATTCTGGACCAGCCTCAGTACTGGACTCACAACAGTCTCCCAGGGAATGCCTCAAAGAGAGCCTGAAGGTACTTCCCCCATTTCTTCAGTGTTTTATGTGACATCTACAGACATATGTGGCCCTCCTACTCATCAGGGTTGACCTAGAGGAAGTCAGAACAAAAACATGGTCACTAGCTTTTTGACATTGGTCCGTCATGCACTGACAAGGTTGGAACCCATGATCATCTTCCTTTCTCAGAGGCCTTACTTAAAATAAAGAAAAAAGAAGCACCAGTATGCTGTGCCTCTAAGGGCATTGAGGAAAACACTGAACCAATATATACAGAAAAAGTGCTGAGACATGTATAGAACAAGGCATTGAGATGGAAGGTGTTGAGGTGCCTAACAAATCTGATGCCAGAGCCTCTAGACTCAAGCGGGAATAGACAGAGAACAATGCTGACACTGGAGCATTGTACATTTAGTAGAGAACGCTGAAGTAGTGCTGAGGCTCTGACCAAAAGAAAAAAATGTATGTTAGAATGCCAAAAAAATGCCAGTGATGAAAAGACTTCAAAAATACAACCACCATCAGACCTGACTGAAAGTCAGGGTTACTGCAGGTGGAGAGCAAATAAAACATTGTTGGGATCCCATGAAAAGCTGGAAAAATGACCAGCTCGAGGCCAGTGTCCTGTAAGGAGCTCCTCCTCCAACCACAGTTAAGAAGAAACTGATTGGAACATTTGGAGGGCAGCTTTTATACTCCACAGAGTACCTCGCTCATGCTCTACCCTGCTACTGCTACCCACAGGATCAAAGAACTTTAAAAGCTAGTGAACTACCAGTCTCATATTAGAGAGCTAAGACTCTGAAGTGAAAATCCTTCATAGAATGGACTCTTTAGAGCATATAAATTAGATTTCTCAAGATAGTCGGTATATACAGAGACTTATCAAATGCTATTACTTCCACAGTATATCTTTGAAATTATTGCCAATGACAAGGGATGGCCAACAGCATTCTGTATAGCAGAGCACATTCTAAGCCCTGTATCAAGTGAAGTATTTCACTATTTAATTGTAATTTTGAGGTAATACTTTCATGATATATTTGCTGCTAACAAGCAATAGCAATGGTATCGAAGCAATGTTCTGTGCCTCTAAGGCAGAGGTGGGCGAACTACGGCCCGCGGGACCCTCCTGCCCGGCCCCAGAGCTCCTGGCCCAGGAGGCTAGCCCCCACCCCTGCAGCCTCAGTGTCCTGCGCCGCCGGCGCAATGCTCTGGGCAGCCGGGTAGCACAGCTGCAGACCGACCTCCTCCCTTGCCCCAACCCCCTTCCCTAGCCATGATCCCCCTCCCACCCTCCAAACCCCTCATCCCCAGCCCCACCGCAGATCCCGTACCCCCAGCTGGAGCCTTCACCCCCCCCCAAAAAACACTTCAACCCCCTCCCCCAGCCCAGAGCCCCTTTCCAAACTCAACCCCTCAGCCCCAGCCCAGAGCCCCCTCCCCCACACCTCCCAGTCCGGACCCTCTTCCCACACATGAACCCCTCATTTCTGGCCCCATCCTGGACCCGTGCCCCCAGCCCAGAACCCGTACCCCCTCTCACACTCCAGTCCCCTGCCTCAGCCCCAAACCTCTCATCCCTGGCACACCCCAGAGCCCACACCTCCAGACGGAGCCCTCACACCCTCCCGCACCCCAACCCCCTTACCCCAGCCCTTAGCCCTCTCCAGCACCCTGAACTCCTAATTTCTGACCCCACCCCAGAGCCTGCACTCCCAGTCGGAGCCCTCACTCCCAATTTTGTGAGCATTCATGGCCCATCATACAATTTCCATATCCAGATGTGGCCCTCAGGCCAAACAGTTTGCCCACCTCTGCCCTAGCAGGTTTCTAGGACTCTGGTCACGAGTGCTTGCTGACCCAAGTCAGACTGATTTGGGTGTGGGCAGAAGTGGGGCTTGAGTGAGAGCCCAGGCTTAGTGTGTAGTGCAGACATACCCTTAGAGGCACAGCACAGAATCTCACGCCTACTGCAGAAGAAATTTCAACATTGTTTTCCCATCTTAATTCCAGGCAAGATTTCATCTGTATAATCTATAAAAGCAGTAAAATTAACTAGCCTAAAGCCAGTTTACCTCCTGCCATGGGGGAAGAGGAAGAGAAGGAGGCTGGGGGCAGAAGTGAATCACATACACAGTAGAATGAAAACTCAAGAGGATCCTTGCAGAATTTCCACTGAAATGATTTACTGGAGATAAAGTTTGTCTGTCTTAAGCAATGAGCAGAGTGTTCAGAACCTACAATCCACCCATCTCCTACTGTACATTTAATGTGAAGTAGCAGTTGTCAGTAAGTCTATACGAATGATGATTTTTATAAGTATCCTCTACTAAGGTTTTTTTTAACATCAAAGGTGCTTAATATCAGTACATTTAGCAATGACAAAATAACTCCATCTCCCCCATCAGTCCAGTACAGAATAGCACAAACTTTTAAAACCAATCATACAAGTTTGAGACAGACCAATCCATTAGTCTTTCCAAAGAAGTGGAAGCTGGGTACTCTCCTTGTAGACCATTTGATTCTTACCAAATATTGCTTCTAAAACAAGATGGCACAAAGGGAAAATAGAGCAATAAAGCTGAAAACACATTTTAAACTGTGCTTCAAACATTTATTTATAGCGTTTTTGAGTGAGAGACAACTTTTAATCTTTCTTTATTAGTTTCTCACCTTAATAAAAGCTGCTCTCAGGGTCTGAGCTGCAGATAGGTTTACTCGCTCTAGCTGCAATGAAAGTTTAGAACCATTAGTAACATGAAGTTCATCAAATCAGGAAAAGTCAGTAGTTACCTCTGAGCCTCTGTTTGGCCTTCTCTGTCATAATGGGGAAGGCCAGAACAAACAAGAAGCACGCAGTTGGTGGTCTCAGTTGTGGGACAGAGACTTGGAAATCCGACCACTAAGGGGGGGAAGATTTTGCACACTGTTGTCCCAAAATAAGCTTTAAAAACTGTAATGCTCATGGATAAGGCAGGAGTGTTGATTCTCCACTGTGTGCTCCTGAAGTCAGAGAATTTGACCCAAAGACAGAAGGAGGTTGACCAAAACCCAGAGCCCCATGAACAAGTCTAAACTATTTCCAGTATTTGCAGGAAGACACATGGTCCAGATTGGGGAAAAGATGTCACAACTTAGAATTAACACTAACCTTACAATATAGAAAGTTACATTTTAGATTAAAATTATGTTTTAAAATGTTTTAACTGGGCCTTTATAAAAATAAAATATTCACTTTGTATAAAGCAAGTTCCCTGCCAACCTCAAGGACATCACCTAAGCTGAATCTGGTCCATACTGGGAAGATAATGGGATACTTCATATCAGGAAAACTGGGTTGCACATTGTTATTTAACTAAAATTAAGTATTAGCACATATTGCTGTCTTAGGAACTTGCAGAGCGTAAAAATTCATTTTGAATTGTGAACAATTATCACAAAGGATTGACAAAATTCAGTATAGGCATGAAGACTACTAAGTGTATCATGCAGCAGCAGGAATATGCATAATACTTAATCTTCTAGGGTAAACTATGCCACGGAAAATGTTAGTCCTTTTCATCTTATTCAAACTAGAACTTTCAGGGGCAGCAAAAAAGAACTAAGCTCAAATTACTCATGCCAGTAACAAGTTTTTTGTTATTTGCTTTTTCTAAGTTTCAATTTGTGCATGCGTGTTGTCTATATTTATTTCTACCAGTGTTAACATTCTCCTGGGATCATTATTCCCTCAACAAGATAAGCCTTACCATTAATTGAGACCATAGAGTCACAGGACCAATACATACGCTCACCAGTTTTACATTTTAGCCAGTTTAATTGTTGCAACATCATCTGCTTTCACAGATTTTGAGGCCAACAGGGAGCGTTATGATAATCTTATCTGACCTCCTACATAAGATAGGTCCAAAGAATTCACCCAATAGCTTCTGCATCACACTTGTATCTTCTGTTTGAGCTACAGCATACCTTAAAAAGATATCCAATTTTGATTTAAGACTTCAAGTGATGGAGAATCCATCGCATTCCCTAGGTAAATTGTTACAAAAAATTAATTAGCCTTGAAGTTAAAAATGTGCTTCTTATTTTTAGTTTGAATATATCTAGCTTCAGAGTCCAACCGCTGGATCTCAACATGCCTGTTTCTGCTAGTTTAAAGGGCTTCCTCTACTAATGGATCTCTTCTTCTGTAGGTATTTATAGACCTTGTTCATGTCACTTCATAACCTTGGATAAATTAAGAAGGCTGAACATATTAAGCCTCATTATAAGGCATGCTTTTGAGCTCTCAAATCTTCCTTGTAGCTTTCTTCTGAACCCTTCACAATTTTTCGACATCCTTTTTCAAGTGTGGACTCCAGAATTGGATACAGTATTCTAGCAAGTCACACTAATAGCATGTACAGAGGTTATATCACATCCCTATTTCTACTTGCTATGCCCCTCCTTAAGCCTTCAAGGATCACATTCATCCTCTTAGCTACAGTATCACACTGGGAACTCATTCAACTGTCGTCTACCATGACCACTAAGTTCTTTTCAGCGTGGCTACATTCCAGGATAGTCTCCCATCCTGTAAGACCTATGTTCCTAGATGTATGACCTTGCATTGGGATGTATTAAAACAAATGTTCAAATAGGCCCACCTTTCCAAGTGATCCAGGTCAGTCCATATAACTGATCTGTTTCTAACTCATTTATCATTCCAATTTTTGTGTCACCTGAAAATTTCACCAGTAATGATTTTATCTTTTCTTCTAGATCATCGATAAAGATACTAATTAGTAATAATTCAAAACAGACCACTGCAGGACTCCACTAGGAACACCATACCCCTGAGATGACAATTCCCCATGTAGTTACTTTTTGTGATCTAGCAGTTAACCAATTTTCAATCTATTGAATTTGGGCTCCACTAATTTTGAATGGTGCTTCTTTTTCTTAAGGGAAAAAAAAAAAACAGAATACCACATGGAACTAAGTCAAAGAAGGGAAAGTACATTATCAACCACATTTGTGATCACATCAATAAATACGAAGTTTATCCAACAAGACCTCTTTTCCATAAACCACGTGGATTAGCATTATTTATGCTACTACCCTTTATTTCTTTACTGATTGTCCCATATCAGCCTATGATTGTACCTGGGATCAATGTCTTCCTAACTGGCCTTGTAACTCAGGGATGCCATTTAACCTTTTAAAATATCGTTATGACTTTAGGGAAGTTATAGAGAACTGGAATAAAGTTAATGATTCAAGATCCATTAAAAATCGACATTAATTATTCAAAGAGCTCTTTGGCCAATTCCTTTAGTACTCTTGAATGGAATTTTTCTGGTTCTACAGAAGTTAATGTTTTTAACTTTAATAGTTGCTGTTTAATACCCTGCCTAGTTACTGATGGACTAGAAAGTATGTCCAACTTTGATAATTCAGCACTCATTTTACCACATTTCTGGATTAGCCCTGTATTCAGATTTAAATTTCCCACCTATACAACATTTGCAGATAACCTTTGCTGTCAATACAGTGATCTTAAGGCACGTCTTGAATATGAAACAATTGAAGTGACCCATGAATTACCTGCTGTTTCTATTCTGATCTTACAGGAAAGGATCTATTCATCAACCATTTTACACAGAGTTTTAAAAATGTACTCTGATTAAAAGATCAGTGATGCACTACAGTGATCAGTAATGAAACTGATTACCACTATCTGTTTCAGGTTCCCACCACTTAAACACAGCAAAAAATCTAACTTTATAAACAGTAATCAGACCATTTAGGTGTTCAGCTTTGCTTCGAGTACCACAAAATGCATTAATTTCTAGCACCAGGAGATCATTTTCTTTTACTTTAAAATTATATTTTGCTGTTAAATCCCATCTTTACTCCCCCAGTCACAAACTGGAGCATTGAAATAATTTTCCCAATGGAACAGTATTCTCTAAAATAGGCCTTACTTTACAGAGACAGGCTGCATTCTACTCTTTTCTCACTTCTAAGATTGGAGGGGGAGGGGAGAAATCTACTGCTACTTTAAGTTTACGTTTTTTATACTTGCAGCCTGACATCTCTCTCTCAAGGTCCTCCTTCTCTCTGCAAAACCAGAGTTAAGAAAAAGATCGGGGCAAAAAAGAAAAAACTGAAATTGTTGAAGATTATGTTAAAGGTTGCTGATGGCTTTCAAGGATAAGGAGGATGAAGAAATACAAAAAAAGAATGTATGGTAGATGTTGGACTTGAGGGCTTGGTAGGACATCCTTGCATATCAAGGCGAACAGCATGTATTAATTAGTGTGCCACTTGCCTTTTGGTTTCAGGTACCTCCAAGTCAGAACAGAGTATTACGCTATGAACAGGAGAAAACAGCTTACCTCATTAAAAACAGGATACATAACAGCATAGAGTGGCATGGAAACCATAGAAGTGGTCTCTGCTTCATTCTTCATCTCTTCCATTGTCATCCTCATTCAAAGATCCACTTCTCAGGAAAAATGCTATAAAAGCAAAGACTCCTCATTCACTGAAGTGTTTCTTCTTTTTCCTCGTCGTGCAAGAATACTTAAAGGACTTGAAAAATAAATTGCCCTGGGAGGGAGGAGAAAATACATATTATAAACACTGAACTACTGCCACAATTTTCAGATGAAACGTTCCTACAAAAGGTTTCAAGTAGCAGATGTAGTACCACATGATAATTAGAGAAAAACACATTACGTTCACAAGAAAAGAATCCCTCAGTGAATGGGATTTCTACTTAATGAAGTTCCAAAATTTTAAGTCACTGTAGCCCATGCAAGAATTTGTTTTGATAAGCAAGGCACTACTGGAAAGGCTACAGCTTTATCTCAAGTTGTCATACGCAACTTTTCTTGAAAAAAGTATGGAAAAGGAGAATGAATTGATTTTTTCCTTATAGGATTCAGGTTGGAAGCTCTCACCACCACCAGTGAGCAGAAACGTAAGATTTCTGAAGACAATATAATTCACATATGTAAAATGCACACTTTTAAAGTGATATGTACTATAGACCTGAAATGGCAATATATATTTACAGATGCACAATTACTATAAACAGAAATAAAAACATACAATCACATTTTAATCTATACACGCATGTATCTAGTTTCTTTTTCTTCAATATAATCCTAATAATCACTCATTACAAGATACAATCAATCATCACTGCACGCTTTTTTCCTGCTAGCTCAGTCCTCGATATCACATCTTGCCTTTAAACAAACAGAAATCTTATGTCTTGTTCCTACTCAGGGTGTGTCAGCAACTATGTTAGCTCAATGGAAAATAGTTGTTCCAGGAACTGAATCTGGTACTTAGAAGTTCTCCACCCTATCCAACCCATCTAACTTGAAGAGATCTGCATATGAGCACTGTATTGAAAGGGAAATACTCATACCTCTACATAATCTGGTTCATGAGAAACCCACATGACAGAGGTAAATACCCGTACCATATTATTCCAACTTGAGGATTTATCTGTGAAAGGGTGTTTTATTCAAACATCAAATCTGTAACAAATATTAAGGGATTTTTAAATATAGAATTTAATAAGGGACTTAATTGTCTTATTATAGGTCAACAGATCAGTCCATTTTTCTTACTCATCTGTCCCTTTGTCTTATGTTCTGGTTTCTATCAACCATGATAGCCCCCATTTTAAAGTTAATTTGGGCTGCATGTTAACAGTTTTAGAATATGGTGTTGATATAACAAAGTTTTCGAAGCTGTATATATATATCTTAATATTCCAAAGGGAAAGCTTGACAACAGAATGACAGTAATAATCTCTAATGCTATTCATTACAGAATCGTTGCATACCTCCTTTATCACCTAACTTTGCATGCCTTACTTTTGTGTTATAAAATCTTGTTATGCAACATTTCATATTATTTTTAGGAGAGATATCATTTTAAAAGGTATTGAATCTCTTCTGTCAGCATAGCTGTCTCTACACCAGGGGTTTTGCCAATATAACTGTGTTGGCTAGGAGATGAGGTTTTTTTCACACCCCTGACCAACACAGCTGTGGGCAACAAAACTTTGTAGTGTAGAGGTGGCCTTAGTGACTGATCTGAGGGAAACGGCAAGCACAAGCTGGCAGTTGTACACTGCCTGAGACACAAGGAAGGTTGACAAGCAGTCTGCATTCAAACCAGCTCATCACTGGCTTTTTGCATGTAGAATGCATACTCAGGCTTAAGTATAGTCTGTGCCGTGTAGCCAATACGTATAGAGTATATGGGGTAAAGGAGGACCTCAGTTAAATCTAAAGAAAGGGACTCTCAACACATATGTAGAGGATGAACAGGATACATACAGTGCATTTTCCAGAGGCTGAATGTGAAAACAGTACAAAGACTCCAGATGTCTGCCTCCTCCAAGGATTAAACCAGTGTGCATTCAAGCCTGTATTCCAGTCCCTCCACTGACTCAATCTGCTTCTGCTGCTAGTTCAAGGACTTGATTCTAACTTTTAAAGTTGTTAATGGAGCAGATCTCACCTACAGTAGAGACTATCTCTGTGTTCATGAACAATCAAGACAGCTGCATTCCTCTGGTACAATGCAGATCACAAAGCACAGAATCAAGCAGGTGAACAGGAGATAAGGCACTCCCAGTTGAGGGGATTTAGCTGAGGAACAAACTTCCAGAGGATATTAGAAGCTTATTCAGTGACCATATTCAGGATATGCTGCAAGACTTTCTTATAGAAGCTTTTCCACAATTACATTTAAATGAATAATCCCAGCCTCCCTAAAATAAAATAAAAACCTACCCCAAGTAGAGCTTCCTATTACCCAAACAGCCAAAGAATCTAAGAAGTCACTTAGGGACTACCTATGCCAATCTAAAAGGACAAGTATTTAGAATGGTAATGACAGCCAGTACAAAACCTAGGGTAGAGATGTTCAAACTTCCTATTCTGGCGAAGATAATTAGAGAGCTAAGTGCACTCCTGGCACTGCAAAAACATAGGATATTGTCTCTGCTCCAAGGAGTTGAGCTGAAGTTGGCCCTGCAGCTCATAATATGGTGGTGGAGGAGGAAGTATATTGACTCAACTGTATACGAAAAATAAGATGTAATGTTATCATCTATGGCCCATAGCAGGAAGGTGGGCTGAAGGAATGCCGTATCTCTGAACCAGTATGGTAGAGCAGCAGTTCTCAAACTGAAAAGGAGTACTTGTGGCACCTTAGAGACTAACCAATTTATTTGAGCATGAGCTTTCGTGAGCTACAGCTCACTTCATCGGATGCATACCGTGGAAACTACAGCAGACTTTATATATACACAGAGAATATGAAACAATACCTCCTCCCACCCCACTGTCCTGCTGGTAATAGCTTATCTAAAGTGATCATCAGGTGGGCCATTTCCAGCACAAATCCAGGTTTTCTCACCCTCCACCCCCCCACACAAATTCACTCTCCTGCTGGTGCTAGCCCATCCAAAGTGACAACTCTTTACATAATCAAGTCGGGCCATTTCCTGCACAAATCCAGGTTTTCTCACATCCCCCCCACCCCCATACACACACAAACTCACTCTCCTGCTGGTAATAGCTCATCTAAACTGACCACTCTCCAAGTTTAAATCCAAGTTAAACCAGAACATCTGGGGGGGGGGGGGGGGGGGGGTAGGAAAAAACCAGAGGAAACAGGCTACCTTGCATAATGACTTAGCCACTCCCAGTCTCTATTTAAGCCTAAATTAATAGTATCCAATTTGCAAATGAATTCCAATTCAGCAGTTTCTCGCTGGAGTCTGGATTTGAAGTTTTTTTGTTTTAAGATAGCGACCTTCATGTCTGTGATTGCGTGACCAGAGAGATTGAAGTGTTCTCCGACTGGTTTATGAATGTGATAATTCTTGACATCTGATTTGTGTCCATTTATTCTTTTACGTAGAGATAAAAGAATACGTAAAAAGAATGGGTGGGAGGAGGTATTGTTTCATATTCTCTGTGTATATATAAAGTCTGCTGTAGTTTCCACGGTATGCATCCGATGAAGTGAGCTGTAGCTCACGAAAGCTCATGCTCAAATAAATTGGTTAGTCTCTAAGGTGCCACAAGTACTCCTTTTCTTTTTGCGAATACAGACTAACATGGCTGTTACTCTGAAAGTTCTCAAACTGTGGGTCAAGACCCCAAAGTGGGTTTTAATGGGGTTGCCAGGGCTGGCTTAGACTTGCTGGGGCCCAGGGCCAAAGCCGAAGTGTGAGGGCTTCCGCCCTGGGCAGTGGGGCTGGGGTTATAGGCCCCCCTTTGACTTTGGCTCCCCCAACCAGGGACTTGGACACGCTCAGGCATTGATCCCGATAACAGAAATTACTACATGGCCCCAGAAGTGGGTCATAGTGCAATGAAGTTTGAGAACCCCTGTGGATGAGGATTCACAGGTCAATGCATTTAGTATATGGCTCATAATAATGGAAATGAGGTAGGATGCGAAATCTCTGGCACACCTTGGGAACCCACTTCAGTTACAAGCACAGCTACCATGAGCTCATGGAAATTCTAGATTTCCAGCAGAGTTCAGGTTCTTTTTTATTTGAGTTTACAAAAAACTTAGAACATTGCCTCCACAGAGGACCTTACTATATGGTCTTATTATACATAAAAAGAAAAGGAGTACTTGTGGCATCTTAGAGACTAACAAATTTATTTGAGAATAAGCTTTTGTGAGCTACAGCTCACTTATATAAGCACACAGACATCTATACAAACACACCTATTCTAATCCGTAGATGAATTTGCCAAAAATTAAACATACAGTCAAGTCAGAAGTAAAATCAGCAGGTTATCCTTACTCCAAAACCAGGAAAATAGCCTACTACTACAATAAAAACCAAATCCTAACAATACCATTGCAAAAACCTGCCTTTATTGTGCTGCTCCCACCCCAAAATCCTGGATAATTAGAGAGGCATTACAGCATACCTTAAAGATTAACAAAATCAGGTTATTCAGACTGCAGGCCTAAAGGGAAGGGGGGAAAAAAGGCATGCTCCAATGCTGAGCCCCTCATAAAAAAATGCCTGCCCCAGCTCCCACTCCTTTATACAGGAGAGCTTCAATGCAAGCACTTTAAACCAACACCTTAACCTCCACCTGAAAACCAAGAATTCAGTGCATATCACGAAGCACTGATGTCATGTGTCCCATACAAGGTACACCACTTAAGTTGCAGATTGCTGCATCCTGCCAGCTGACAGCGTACAGTGCATCTCTATAACCTTAAAGTGACAAAGGCATGGATTGCAGTAGCAATCCAAACAAAATGGTCCATCTCATAACTAAGCAAAAAAGGGGGGGAAATGTCTTCCTAGACACTGTTACCATCAACTCCAGTTTGCAAGATCTACAAACAGAATATACCAATCCTCAATAAGAGAGACATGATAATTTTTAATTGTCTTCTGGCTGCTTCCCTCAAATTACCAGCATTGCCTTTGTCTTACCCTGATTGAACTTCAGCAGCTTATTTCCATCCATGCTCCAAACATTAGGCTAAGCAGAGGAAGTTTCGAGCTGTATGTCATTAGCATACTAAAAACACCACATATCATACACCGCCTCAATAATCTTCCCAAGTGGGAAGATAGGTTAGAACCCTGTGGAATTCTACATGACAGCACCCTGGGGTATGGAAAAGCAGTTGCCCGACATCACTTTTTAGAAAAATGCAGAAAACATGAGGCTATATCCCATCAACTCCTCATGATCAAGTACATCAAAAAGCAGCACGTATTTATCAGCATGCAGACAAATCTTCATCTATCACCAGCAAGAGGTCTCCCAATACCATCAGTACAGTCTCAAGTCAAGATCATCTGAGGTATCTAGGTACTCAGAATGGTCTCCGCACAACCTTCCCTATAATATTTTCCAAAAACGGAAGATTAGACATCAGACAATAATTTAGCAGATTCCCAGTGTCAAGTGTTGGTTTCTTGAGCAGAGGCTGCATAACAATTTCCTCAGAGAAGCCACCATCCTACCCTGACTATGGGAAGCACTGCTAATCTGCAGCAAGTTCTTCCTCACTTTCTCTAGACAGAAAAAAGATAAGGGTTCAAAAAAGGCCAGGTTGAGGAACAATGAACCCTCAACAACCCTAGTTTCAGAGTAGCAGCCGTGTTAGTCTGTATTCGCAAAAAGAAAAGGAGTTCTTATGGCACCTTAGAGACTAACAAATTGTAACCGGCCTAAACTCAATAGAAAAAAAATTAGCATTTGTCCTGACTAGATCCTATCCTGTATTCATGGAATCAGGCAGTTTGGCTCTTTTTATCTATTTTTATCCGCAGAGTAATCAGAAACTTCCTAACAGGAAGGGCTTAATCCAGTCACCAAGTGAAGACAGGTGGCAATGTTTGTGATTTGATGAAAAATAGTAAAATGTGGTTTGTTTTAATCATGTTCCAACTTTATGAGTAACTTAACTATATTTGAGTTTCTAAATGATTAACCAAAATATAAATGACTATACTAAACAATTTTTGTTTATTTTAGGAAAAATTGTGACAAACCTGATGATCAGTTCACTTTTGAAGGATCTTTTCTTTTAAAGAATGAAAATTTAGTTTATGTAGAGCAAATATTGTTACATTTACCGGACCACTGATTTACATTATAAACATGATGAGATCAATAAAAGTTAAACCACTGTAACTAAAACTTTGCTAGTCTAACTGGGCAAAAATAAAATAAAAAAGGAACATGCACTCATTTGTATAGATTCTGGTCTCCCCTGCCTCACACACCAAGCAGTTTCATTTATCAGGGTACTAAAAAAATGTTATCAGAAAGTGAAATAATACCCCATTAAAGTTTCAAAATGGGCTTGCCCAAAAAACGTTCCAAAAATAAAGAGCCACCTAAGCAGAGGCTATACTTGAGAAACTGTATGGCAATAAGCTATTTCAAAAAAAGTTGTATGTGTATGGCAAAACCAACAAAAAAAAATAAATCAGGTATTTTATAACCTATAAATGTTATATTTATATAGAAAACATATAGACAATTATAATTATAATTGGTTTACTTGTGATAAAAATGCAAGTGCATATTGTAAATTAGGTACACTTCACTGTTGTGAATGTGGCTGAGTGCCACCATTTAAGAAGTTGTGCGAACAATTTACAAAAAAAAGAAAAGGAGTACTTGTGGCATCTTAGAGACCAACAAATTTATTAGAGCATAAGCTTTCATGAGCTACAGCTCACTTCTGACCTGTAGCTTACGAAAGCTCATGCTCAAATAAATTGGTTAGTCTCTAAGGTGCCACAAGTACTCCTTTTCTTTTTGCGAATACAGACTAACACGGCTGTTCCTCTGAAACCCATTTTTAATATCTCTCTACCTATCACTTACACAAGAAAGGCATCTTAAATTGGGCTCCAATTTTTGTACCTAGCCAAATTAAAATGATTACAAAACCTAAAAGAATTAGCAAAGATCACACCACCACCATTTAGTCAAGCAACAAATTATCGGCATGGATGCAATGCAACCACAGCAATGACCATGGTGAAGGTAACAGCATGCATCAGTTTCTTTATCAAGTTCTCTCCCCCTATGCAGTCTCAGGAATTTGAATATAAAGCTATTGTTCCTATCCCTGTGATTTAATCAGATGTTTCTAGAAATTAAAATGTAGCATATATTTTAGAAACCAGAATGTAAAACTAACCTCAATGATACCACAACCCACCAAGTAAATTGATATTGTGAGGCTGTGACAAGGTGGTTATCTTTTATTGAAAAGAAGAGTCCAGTGGCACCTTAAAGACTAACAAATTTATTTGGGCATAACCCATTTCTTCAGGTGCCATGCTTATGTCCAAATAAATTTGTTAGTCTTTAAGGTGCCACCGGACTCCTCATTGTTTTTGTGGATACAGACTAACACAGCTACTCCTCTGCTATCTTTTATTGGACCAACTTTGGCTGGTGAGAGAGACAAGTTTTTAACCTGCACACTGCTCTTCTTCATGTGAGCTTATTTCCTGGGATAGGGATGCAACAGAGCCTTGGCCCTGATACCGTTAGGCTGGAGGAGGGAAGTCAACCAGCCTTGACAGTCAGATGTACTGTTTAAAGGGACAGCCAGGTTACAAACTATGTGTTTTAAATTTTCCTTAAGTTGCTCTTCAATTATTAAACTGGAAAAACACATCAGCATTTACGCTGTTTACTTTTTGCATTTTATTCAACTTGAATAACAAATAGGTCCATTTCACTTTCTGTTTCTCATGCACACTACTGCAAGATTGGAGTTACAAAGACTAGCAAAGGGAAGTTATGAATGACTCCCATCATTCGAGTATGTAAATATTTTATAAAACCTACATTTGTAAATCAAACCAAAGCCCCTTCTTAAAATATTACATGCCAAGGACACACGAGATACACATCCAGGCCAAGATTTTCACAAGTGAGGGAGGGTGCCCAACTTGCCATTCAGAAACTAATAAATCCGAAAATCGGGCCCCCTTAAAGAGGACTCAAAATGTGGGGAGAGGGGAAAGAGCCACACAGAATCACTAACCCCTTGGCCTCCGGCACGCAGAGGACGGGCAGGGGTGAAGCCTTGCGACAGGGCCGAAGGGCAGCCCCTCCGGGCCCGGGTCTGGCTGCACACCTGGCCGCCGCCAGCTGACCCCCTCAGCCTGCTGCTGTTAGCCGGGGTGGGGAGATGCTCGCCCCCACCCCTGGGATCCCAGACCCCTTCCCCATCTTAGGGCATTACCAGCCCCTCCCTCACAGCGGCTCCCGAACTGCCAGGCCTCAAATACCGCCCCCGCCCCACCGGAGACCCACAGCTCCTCTGAGCGAGGCCCTCAGCCGGGGCCCGGATTCTCCAAAGCGTCCTACGCCCCTAACGCAGCGTAGCCGCGAGGGAATCACCAGGCCCTAGGAAAACACACTAGTGACCCTGCCCGGCCCGTGGGAGCCGAGCGCTTCCTCCTCACCCTCCGAAAAGGGGGCACACACAGCCCGGTACCTTACCTCCCCCACCCTCCTCGGGGACTTTAACGCTCTTGAGTGGGGTCCGCTGCCGCGCCGGAAGTGCCTGCCGAGAAGGAAGCGTCCCTCGCGGTTACCACACACCAGGCGTTGTCCGGAACCAGCCCGCAGCCGCATGGACCCCTGGGACCTGTAGTGCCGTTCCAAACAACTACAACTCCCGCCAGGCAATGCGAGGGGGCGGAGCGGGAAGAGTTGGAGGAGGAGCGGGGGGAGAGCTAACCCAATCGGAGTGTCGGTCTGGAGGAAGGGGCGTGGCCCCGAGAGGGGCGGGGCAGGCGCGAGAGTATGCCGGCGTCGGCGGACGCCTCAGAAACGATTCCTGAGGCGGTCTCTGTGCTCGCGGCTGCTCCGGCCCCGGGAGTAGCCCCAGTCCAGCGGAGCTGCGGCGGGAGGGCGTCCCCATCGGCTGCAGGAGCGCTCCAAGGGAGGTAAGCGCACGCAGGTACCTCGCGGTGCGGGCAGCCTGGGTGCGTGGGGGGGCTCCCCGCCCTAGGAAATCATTTGGTAGCTGCCCCCCGCCCTGTTTCATGCGTGGCAGAGGTTTGCATGTCAGTGGACTTGGCAGTCATTGTTTGGGATCCGTTCGAAAGTCTCCCTCTGACTGTTGCTGCACCTCTATATATTGCAATGCGTGTGAGTCGTTATTGAGAAACCTCCCTCAGTTTCGTGGAGCCCCAAACCCCGTGAAATAAATCCCTGAATCTGGGTATGGGTGTGACCTAGTGCAGTGGTATGTTTGTCCCCACCCCAGCCCACCCATTGCATTTTTTAATCTTCTATTTTATTAAAATGTTGTTTCTCTCCACGCCCCAGTGTTTGTTTTGACAGAGGCTATTTCCACATCCGTTATAGATTTGTAAATCTGAGTCCTGGCTTTGTTGTACTTGCCTCACGACTCTGTCAATGACTCGCTGTAAACTGGGACCAACATCTGGTGTTGATGCAATTCAGGGTGTGTTAGCTTTGCTGGAGAAAATAATATTGAGAACTCTGAAGATTTAAGAAGTTCTTAAAACTGAAAAATAATTCAAAAAATTTAATTACAAGTCTTTCAGTTTTAAGTTAATTCAGAATGAGTGTAGAAGTAGGGTATTTAAAACAGGTAGCTATTTGTGTGTGTATATGTATATGTGTGTGTGTATATCTGCATGTGTATATATGTATCGGTGGGTGGGTACATGTGTATATATAACTCGTAAGTGTCCCCTATTTGGAGAAAAACTTTTTCAATTTGAACATATTTTAAAGTGCCTTTCTCTTTACAACATAAAATTTTTGCATTGTGTGGCTCACTAAACATGCAACACACCAAATTTGAAATCTCCCTCACTCAAAGTCTCACGCACATCTTGACACCTCAGTAAAATGAATAGCAATCTCTGGCAGTGTATATTTACCAGCCTTCTAATACAATAATTATCCCAAGGTTTAAAAAAAATGCAAAAACTAAGTTTTATTTCTAACCCCTTTTATTATGAATAAAAATGAAGATACTATAATAATAAATAATGATGATGATTATGTAAAGCACTTTGAAATCTTTAAATGAACAGTTCTGTAAAGGTCAAAATAGTATCACTGTTTTAAGTCCTTGCATTTCCCTGTTTAAACAATGGTAACATATGTTAGTTGCTAAGAGCAACTGTTACAGAAAAGCTTTAGAACTTTAATTAGCATATGAAAAAAATAAATGCGTTTTTAAAAATTTAAAAAAATCAGGTTTCTTAAATTTGTTAGCTCATGTAAAAAGAGGGTTTTTTTAAGAATACTGTATAGTGTGATAAAGATGTAAACACTTCATATAACAGGAGATGTGTAGGAAGAGTGCCAGCAACTGACTGAATAGGTAAATGACAGTTAAATCTGTCAACCATTGGTTATAACTTCTGGTAACAAAAAGGGACTGTCTGTGGAAAGCCATGCATACATTTGAGGCTCCTAGCTTTGCAGTGTGGGAACAGAGATCTCAAATATTTGGGACAGCAACACACCATGAAACCATCCATCACCTGTTAGGTCCCGATAGCTTAATGCATAAAGAAAGCCAGAATACCCAAGATGACATCTGAATGTTATGCTTCATTTCAAAACAAACAAACAAACAATATTCCCCTCATTCTACCCTGCTTTTTATTATTTTTAATCTATCTTTGTGCAATCCATCGAACACCAACTCATGCACATCCCTCTCTATTGGTGGGGTAGATCTAGAATTTGTGTAGTGTACAAAAATATTTATATCATTAATAGCTTTTAACTTTGTTTGGCATCCCAAATATTTTTGTTTTAATAATTGTAGGCTTATAATAATAATCTGTAAGTCCTATGGAAAATGAAACTACTGCTTGGGACAGGGGTGTTTTTTTTTTTTTTTTTTGGCTTTCGAAAAGTCCATAAAATAAATCAAGGGGTGGATGGGGGTGTGAGACTCTCTCTCTCTCTCTCTCTCTCCTCTCTCATATGAGCGCATGCACAAGGAAATTAAACTAAGTATGTTTTTAAATGAAGCTGTGTAGTAATGCACACTCTTTTGTTTAAAAATTCATAGAACAGAATATTCTGTTAAATATCTGGTTCTCTTCCCTCAAATTATTTAACCACAGAATTGACTTTCCAAAACAAGAGTCTATAGTCAGAGAGTAATACGTTTTCCATTCTCTTATCGCTTCCTGGTTTTTTCAAAACTGCTGTCTGTTGTGGTTTTGTGGAGCATGAGGGGGAGTTGGGAGCTTTTTGAAAAGCAACTATAGATGATTGCCTTGTTATAAAGCAAGTCCTATGATCTCTTTAGGCCTCTTTTATAATATAGGCCAGTGGTTCTCAAACTGTGGGTTGGGACCCCAAAGTGGGTCGTGACCCTGTTTTAATGGGGGCCAAAGCCAGAGAGCTTCAGCCCTGGGCAGCAGAGCTTAGGATACAGCCCCCGCTGCCTAGAACAATGGGCCGAGCCTCCCCACCTGGGGTGGTGGGCTCAGGCGGGCTCAGTCTTTCATCCCCCCTCCTGGGGTTGTGTAGTACTTTCTGTTGTCAGAAAGGGGTCACAGTGCAATGAAGTTTGAGAACCCTGGTATAGGTCATAGATAGTCAGACATGTAACAGCACTAAGTGGTTTTGCCTAAGGCACAGCTATTTCCACTATTTCTTTCCAACATGGGCGGGGATGGGGGGGGAGGAGTATAGATAAATGGTTGAACAAGCTACATTCAGATTGGCCTCAGGTGAGTGAGTGACAGCCATATGATTAAAGCCCTGCAAATCTGTGAATATCCGCTTTATCTCTGCGGAACATTTTTGCTGATTGTGCATGGATACAGATCCAAATTTTATATCAAGAGCCCCGCAAATCTGCAGCTATCAGTCAGTTTTACATCCATGGATTGCGAATCCTATGTGGATACAAATTTTGTATCCACGCAGGGTTCTACGTATGATTTCCCTCCCCCACTTCACCTTACTCCGTGGGGGAAATATGGAGACAAAATATGGTGTCTTTACCTCACCTTGCCAATGTAGAAAATATTCCTACCAGCGACCTCTGAAGGATATTTTAGTCATGATGAAAAGTTTAAAAGCTCAGTAAACTGCAAATGAGAGTTCAGCAAGTATCATTAATGTTAAAACGGTAATTTTTTTACTCTTTTAATCTTAATGACATTAGCTAAAATGAAAATGATGTGAAGAAAATCAGGCTTACAAAACAATCTCAAGATGCAGTAAAAATATTGCTTTAAAAAAATCCTACCAAAAACATTTATGTGAAGATTTGGGTAAAGTCACAAATCTCCATGTAAAATAAGGGTGGTGGTAGTGAGGGGATTACTTAAAAACTGATTCTCCTATCACTCTGAATTAAATCAGAAATATTTCCCTTGAAGTCAGTGGAGGTACACTGACAAAGGAGAGGAAAATAGAGTTATTCATAAAAAGAAAAGGAGTACTTGTGGCACCTTAGAGACTAACCAATTTATTTGAGCATAAGCTGTAGCTCACGAAAGCTTATGCTCAAATAAATTGGTTAGTCTCTAAGGTGCCACAAGTACTCCTTTTTTCTTTTTGTGAATACAGACTAACATGGCTGCTATTCTGAAACCTAGAGTTATTAATGTTGACAGTATCTTTTCTGGTTAATCTGGATATTTAAGGTTTAGATATTTAAGATCTGCCCTTTATCACAACTAAGTAGCTAAGTATGTCAAGAGCACGGTCTTGGAATGTTTTATGTAACTGTGGGAGAAGGACAGGAAACCTCAATTTTTTTATATAAACAGTGGTTTAAGGGATATGGTATGTTTTGTATCCTACCTTGTACTTTTGAGCTTAATTCTAAACTGATGTTCATAACTGAGTCTTTGATCATCTAAGGAAATATCTTTGAGTGTGCATTATCAATTTAAAGAGAAGATAGATGTACAGGTTTTTTAAATACATTTATGTAAACTATTATCAAGGATGAAATCAGATCAATTTCATATAGATTTTTAACTTGTATCAGTAAGGGAAAGGCTTGTTTGTGTAATTGTTGAGCGATAATGAAGGAGGGAATGTTTTCCTCTCCTGCGGGAACAGTGGTTAAAGCGGATGTTTTAGTCATAGAAATTTTGGCTAAATGTGTCGTGCATTCCCATTTATATACTTTTATGGGTATGCTAGTTCTGAATTATAATCTGGGGGTGTATTTCAAAATTCTTTGCAATTTTTGAGTGCCTCACACGCAGGTAGGTAAGTATATATTATCTGCAGTACTACACAGGGCAGGTAAGTGACTTGTCTCGGGTGACACAGAAAATCTGGCAGAGGTAGGCCATCCATCCTTTATGTAAACCTTATCTCTTGAGGTTAAGCCTGTTTCATCCTGTGGTCCATTTTAATATATGTGAGTAAATCATTCACTTTTCATATATGGGGAATACCTGGTAATGCACAAGTGGTATATTTTCCAGCCCCATTTACTCACAGTAGATCCCATGTCCCTTCTTGGTCCAATGACTATAGTCAAAATACTACATAGTGAGAGTATTACTTTCATAGAGCAACCTCTTAGCTGCAGGAATTCTGACTTTGATGTCAGCTCTTGCATGAAAGTGGCTGTATAGCGCCTCCTTTGAAGTGTTGAGCCTCTTCACTTTCTGTTGGAGACCATCACTCTTCAGGGTTGGGCCGTCTTACTGCATATCTCAGGTACAACTAAACCTATGGCTACTCATTATAGCATTGTGCTAGTGATTTTGTTATTGAGAAGGCACTTATAGTAAGCCTTTGTTTACAGGCCCTTAATAGCTCATTGAAAATTACCTAAATGTCTTGTGCTTATTTTTAGCCAAAGCTGAATTTTATTTTGGGGGCTGGAGGTAGCTTGCCAATATTCTATTTAGCCACTTCTGATTGATCCTGATGTGGAAACTGTTACCCTTAGCTTTTCAAACATTTT